AGAAATGTAATAAGCTCAGATAATTTAGGTAACTCACTTGTTTTTGAATCTCTTTCCCACCAAAAGAGATGAGTGGAAACATCCAATTTTTGCAGCAAAATATATGCAAGAAAAAAAGAAATGTTTCTGCGAATCCCTCTATTTTTTGGTCTAATATTTCCAGAGACCTTACACTTTCATTCACTGTGTCTACTAATTTTAAAATAGAAGACGGGCTTTCATTTTGTATGGGAGAAATTGACATGAAACGCTTTATCTGAGCGAAAACCTGATCACGTTTATTGGAGTCTCTCTTCTAAAAAATCCCAAGCAATTTTATAGTTATTGTCACAAATTGTGACTGATTGAATAATCCTAGCTGCTTCGCCATGAAGCGATAACTTCAAATACGAGAGTTTTTGGGAATCCGATAATACATTATTATTATGAATGCTTGAAATGAAAAGATCCCGAAAGCTTAACCAATCTTGAATATAATTTCTAGATGGCAAGTTTAATTTAGGTAATTTCATACCTTGTGCACTGGTATTTTCAATCTTTACATTACTTGCATCTTTAGCACTAAATTTTGACATTTGCCGTTTAACCTTAACCCACAAAGTATCAATGCTCTCTTGAACTTTGTCAAACTCTTTTTCATCAACTACTTCAAATAATTTATCAAAAATCTCTGAACACTCATTATTAAATTTTGCACATTTATTTTCAAAAAGTTGTAACTGAAATTCATCACAAGTATATTTTTCGAAATCTGAAGTTGCTTTCATTATACTTTAAAATTCTTTTCTTAATTAAAAATGCTTCCATAATTAACATTAATAAATAATACCGAACATATATGAGCAAATTCACTTACTTCCATTTGAGGTAATCCAAATAAAACCGAAATAATTATCTTGTCGAATGCGAAGTAATATATCACACTTTTTTATCAATTTAACACTTCACCTTTAAGCTTTTTAACCAGCACTTTATCCACAGGCAGTAATCTTTCTACCGGGTTGCACGGACCACAATATTCGAGAATAAAAGTATTCATGAAACACAAACACTAGGATTTAATGGTCCGTAGCTTTATTTTCTTTTACTTCTGTTTGGATGGACACTCTTGCCATTGCAATCACATACGTGCACCTCCCAGTCAATAAAAAAAAAAAAAAAAAAAAAAAAAAAAGGCTGCTAGCTCACCACGTTGTTGTTTTCTCTCATCGTGATTGCCAGATCACTTCTGCCTTAACAGTTGTGTTGGCCGACAAGTGTTTTCTCTTCTGTAGCTGCATCTTTGTAGTTATCAGCGGGCATTGTTTAAGGGCCATTCTGAACAATCGAATTCATTATGTTGATCAAACAAAAGTTTGTAATGCAGCAACAGGTTTTTTAATTTAGTTCTTGTATTCAATTGATAACATAAAGCAGTTTGTTCATCAGCATTTCCCATGAAATTGAGGAAATTTGTGATCAGCATTCCGCAGGGGTAGTAGTGATAGACGATGATAAAATTTGCCCTTTCACTTTGAATGTTGGCATTTAATTCTCGCGCACGATATTTATTGCACTAAACGATGTCATTTGGAAACATGAATTATACTTGTGTATGTTTGCCAAGAAATGTTTCGGTTAACGTGTGTCACCAAGGTTGATAATCGTTCAAGAGGTAAGTTTAATTCTCGCAGTTTCACTTTTGCACCTGTATAGCACATTCCTGGTGCTTCATTCTTAAATATATGGGCTCTTCAATATATGCATAATTTATCCATCTTTCCATTAATCACACTTGGATAAAGACTGTAATCATAATTAGTATGGTAATGGAATGTATTAAGATTTAAATCAGCATGCAGTGTTCGTCTGCGATCGAGCAAAGCATGTTCGAACATTTCCCAGTCTTGCTTCTTGTTGCTCATTTGTTTCATACAAATGGGCTGGAGCAGTACGTACTCAGAACATTTCCACTCTTGCTTCCCATTGTTTATTTGTTTCTGAAGCTTGTGATGCCTTGTTCTTTCAGGCTTGAGGTGCAGATCTTCCAACTGATTTTTTTGTTTTGGTGGCATAATTGATTTTATAGCAAAAGGTAATGCTTTGTGGCGACTATTACAAATTCTTTTTCAGAAAACAAAGAAAATGTGCTTGATGGAATAACATGCATGTTAGTATATGTGTGTTAATGTGTGAAAATTTAAATATATTATGCTTTGCTGAATACTTTAAAAATTGAAGACACTTTAAAAATTTTTAATTTAGACAGTGGCAACACATTTTTCTTAAATAACTGAGTTTGTTTATTAAACATGAGAGAAATTAATATAATTGTGTTTTCCCGAGTGGCAACACAATTTTTTCATATCCCTTGTTTTTCTGATTAAATTTGAAACTTAAATATCGTATGCTTTGTAGAGTGACAATACAAGGCTTTTAAATCAAAGAGTTTTTAATCAAAAGTTCTTTAAATTAGGATAAAATATAGGTGTATAAAGAGTGCACACTTCGTGGGCTAGTTTTTGAAAAATTTTATGTATACAGTGACCTTCCTTTTGTTTTGAAGGTCAAGTGTGACGAGTTTCATGAAGATCAGAATTAAACTGCAGATTTGTATAAAAGACAAACATTCATTCATTACATGTATGTACAGTGAAATACGTTTAACACGAAAACGCTCAAGATGAAATATCAGTTACCATGAAATAATACAACCATCCTGACAAACTACTATGTATTTTCATGCATTTTGTTTCTCTTAACACAGAAGAAAAAGATTTCCTTTCTGGGAATGAACAAAATATAGAAAACACCGGCCTCTCGGGTGAGATTCAAGAGGACACGGAATGAAAGAGAGGTGGTTTCACATGTTTCTTAAAAAGGAGGTTAACCTGGCTTTGAAATATCCTCGGAATAGCTTGCGACACGAGCGAGTTTTGTTTATCTAAGCTACTTTCACCCTCCACCCCTACAAACGCCACACAAACATCACATCAGTTGACTTTCAAATTCGGTGACGAATACATTGTAGTGTGAGTAAAAACTAGTGAGTTTGGTTCATATGTTGCACTCTGCATGTCTCTGTCTCTATATGTTGCATTCTGTATGGAACTCAGTGACTCCAAGGACAATTGAAAATTGTTTTCATCATGCATGATTCTCAAAAGTATCAGATTCTTTGGTGCCAAAAGAAATGGAGAAGGAGGATATTGAAACTGTGACGACACTTAATGAAATGTTTGAAAAAGTTTCTGTATTAATGGACTGTCCTGCTGTATTATAGGAAGAATTCGTTGCAGTAGATGATGGTAATGTGTGCATAGCTCCAATTATAGCAGACGGAGACATTCTGCAGTTTGTTCAAAGCTAAAAAAATATCATTGATGCAGATTCTGATGACGAAAATAAAATAAATGCAGTTCCTGTTCCCCCGTCATCCGAAATGAGGAATATCGTAAAATTTATGGTCAGTTATTTAAACGCACATTCCAATGGTGAAATGAATGACAAAATCGACGACATTGAATGATTTGATGCTAAAAAAGACAATGCAAAGAAAAATATCAGATTATTTTCCAAAAACTCAAAAAAATTTTTTTTTTCAACTTGAAAATTTTGTATTAATTTTCAGTGAGTTCTTGTGAAGGTTTTTGTTTGAGTGATTTTTATTGAATACATGCATATATACATATCTATGTAAATAAAATGTACTCTATTAGAGTACATAATTTACTAATAACTTAATTTTAATTTCTAATAACTTAATTTTGTTGAATATATATATATATATATATATTTTTCAATGTTATTTAACATGAAATTCTTTTAACATGGAAAAAATATTTCAGTCCCCTCAGTTTTGTGTTAAAATGATTTTCACTGTATATATATATATAATGCATTTCAGTATGTTGAATTTTTTAGGTGCAATTTGTCTGAATAAATGTATTGTATCATACAATTTATACTTTTATAAAAGGTAATTTTTTCAACCTTCAAATATTCTAGAGTTAAATTTTTGTTCACCCACCTTGTTGTCATAGTTATAAAGGAGTCAGTGACATAACATGTACCTAGTTTCAAATCCTGGAGAAGGCATGGATATTTGCAAGCGTTTAATGTCTTTGTGGCAGGAAGCATTTAGAATGTTGTTGAGCTGAAAGCCCTTTTGAGAGGTTGTTCGAAAGGGAGGAGGGATGGGAAATTCTGTACCCATCCCTCAAGGATATTATCTTTCAAAACTGGAATTAAGTTGGGCAAATTTGGACCTATATAAAGTGGCTATGGCATAAGCCAGTAATGGGTGCAGTTCTTTTCTCTTGGCCATGGTAAAATTTGTGAACTTTGATTTGATATTACTGCCAGACAAATGAAATAAGTCACAACACACAAATATTTGTTCTTAAAATATTTATTGAGTAACACATTTATAGAATTGAAACAGAATACAATTAATTGTATTCTGTTTCAGTTTCTTCATTAAGTTTAGAGTGCTTGTTTGGCAGTAGCATTTATTTTGTTATTATTATTAATTGAAAGCTATTATCAAATATTAATTAATCAGCTATTATTATTATTTAAAAGTCCTAGAAATTTAGAATATTGTGAAGTATTCTTAATTATATTGGGAGTAATGATACCTAATTTTTTACCCTAATTAGCTACGACTGAAACATAATTTTCAATTTCCTAAGCAATGAGATTAGCTTAACCCTTTTCATTTTGATTGCTGGGCTTTGTATGATTAAATTATAATTTAATACTACAATTTTATTCAGCATTAAGTTTATTAACTTTACTCTTTTTATTTTGATTGCTAGTCTTTATGTGAGTAAAATAAAAATTAATGCTACAAGTTTCAGTGCCAATTTTTTTAATATTTACTGCTTCATAATTTCAAATTATATGTGTGTATTTAGAATAATAATATATGCTGAATGTTAGCCATTTATCTGTGTTTATCCATATAGTCTTATATTTGTGCTTATATTTAGCTATTTATCTTATATTTATCCTTATAGTCATAATACTGGAACGTCACAGTGGTTGGATCCTCGGCTGTCTAGAGTTCAGAAGAAAACTATTGAAGATTGTGGGGATGATGGTATAATTCTTTTCATTATATTAAAAAAAAATTCAATATATTAACCTTTATATCCCTTGTTTATAAGCTTCTGCTGGTTATGAAAGACTTCTTCAAATCCTTATGTGAAGAATAGGAAAATGCTTAAAACTGCTCATGTATTTTCTGCACTTTGAAGCACATTTGTAAATTATGTGTATAAAACATTTTGCATTTAACCCTGGCTCAGTTGAGAAGAATCATTTTTATTACTTCATGTTGCACACTAGTGTCAGTCTTTTAGACAATCTAGAAAACTGATTTTCCAACTCTAGTTTAATGTAGCACTTTAACCCGTTTCCCAATCATTCGTTATTGAAGAATGAGTTTTCATTTAATGTGCTGTGTTATAAATGTTTCCAGTTCTTCATTTCCAATTTTATATCTTTAAATTTATAATATAAAGATTAAAAATGAAATATAAATATAAAAGATTTAAATTGCTGAAGTAGAAAAAAATTTTATCAATCTGTTTCAAAATGAAAGCTAGCTCAGGAGGGGGGGGGAACTAGGTAGCATAAAAAAAATCTTAACCAATGAATTCAAATTGCTGGAATGAACCATGAAAGGAAAAATGAGGTTCTCATCTGAAAACACTATAATGAATTAGAGGAAATATTTTCGAATTTACATGTGTTAGCTATTATTAAATAATGAAGTATATGTATGTATGTTCCTTGCATTGTCGAAAAATGGCAGCTCCTAAAGCCACCAACTTTTTAACGTATATGTAGTGCTCTACCGAATATGTGCACCTTGAAGTCCAAATTTTGAATATTAATTTTTTTTCCATATTTTGCTAACAAACTCAGTGATTTAAAAGTGATGTGTTGTCATTTGTCAAAGTGTAAGATATGTTTCAAATTTAATTAGAAAATTCAATAGTTTGAAAGAAATGTGTTGCCACTCGGCAAAGTGTAAGATGTTTGTCTTTAGAATTTAAAAGACAGCCGTATAAAAGAAATGTGTTATTACTGCTCAAAATGAAATATTTTAATCTTCCACATGTCAGTTTGTTGCCATTGGGTAAAATTTAGAATATTTAATTTTTTTTTCAAATCTAATTTGTCTATTATTGATTAACAAATTAAGCAATTTAAAAGCAGTAAACACCATTATATATCTCTATTATTATTAATTACTAGTTGAACGCATTAAAATCGTTATGAGCAGCAGAGGTGCCATTACTCTCGAAACTTTCATTTTGTCTGTGTCACTTTTGTGTTCGAATCACTTTTCAAATTGCTGCCACCAAATTTTTTCTGATATATTATATGTATAGTGGTCTGGTATTTGCTATGTGTTCAAACTGATCCTCTTTCCAATATATGTATAAAAAAGTCAAGTAATGAAGAATTTTTATGTTCCTTACATTGTAGAAAAATAATGCCACCTAGAGCCATTGAATTTTTAATGCATGTAGCCTTCAGTAAGTCCGAATTTTAAATTTGTTTTATTTCACATTTTGTACAAATTTAGCGAATTTTTGTTTAACAAACTCAGGAATATGAAAGTGAGAAGGGGCAACACTGTTCGAAACAAAACATTTATATATTCAATACACCAGGCTGTTGCCATTCGGCAAAATGCAAGATATTTATCTTTCAGTTTCAGTCCATAAATTAAACTTTTTGAAAGCAATGTTCCACCGTTTCCTCAACTAATGTGTCACCACTTCCTTATCTGCACGCATCAGTATATTGCCATTCAATAAAGTGTAAAATAATTAACTGAAAAACTTTCGTATAAATTTCCTTAAAAATATTTTTTCTGGTGTTTAATCTGATTAATTTATGTAAAAAGCATTTAAATCAGGAGATATGTATTTTATTAAATTACAGCAGCTGAGCTCATTAAAATCATTATATACTTTTTTCTTTAGATGATAACTCTTGTAGGCGGCTGGCCGTCTCAATGGCTATTTTTTAAAGAAATAATATATATATATATATATATATATATATGACAGCCACTAATGTTGTATCAGAAGTTCTAAACTGTTTTTAAGTATTTTGTGATTTTGTTCTTGAATCTGATGTGGCATAATTGTGAAGAAAGCAATACTTAATGGCAAAGCTAAAAACATAAAAAAAAAAAAAAAGTGTTTTAGCAAGCTGAGTCCAAGAGCATATTGATAACCTGCGATACTCGGTGAAAGCGTAAAAAGCATAACAAATCCTCTGATTCCTCTGATGTGACTTTAAAATCTGAATCCTTTCAGATTTTTCTTTCCTCCACCTTTTCTTTTTTTTTTTAAATATAATTTTTATAACTGTTTTAAGTGGCTAGTATGGCAAAATTACAAAGACCTCTCTTTTATATGTTCCTGTCTCTTGTTATTTCTCAGTCAAGTCTGGGAAGTTGTATAAGCAAGAGGTGATTGATTGTATTTAGTTAACAATTCCAGTTTAAAAGACTTTTTACAAATGGTATAAACCTTTTTCTAGGGTGGTTTTATTCTGTATATCAGTTTTTAAATTCCTATGCATTGAAATCTGAAATTTCCATCTAGAAACCCTATTAGGAGTTGAATATAGGAAATTTAAATGTGCATGTGATTATGGCAAAGCCACGAGGGCTATCTGCCTAAAAGGAGGAATGCCTTCGTGGAAGATTTTCTAAAAGAAACTGGCTCATATACACGTTACACACGGGGAAAACCATGAAAACGCCCATGCAGCCAGCTCGTTCGCGGGATTCGAACCTTGGACCGAACTACCAGTGTTCATCGACTTTACCGCTCTTCTGGTTGGCCTAGGAAATTTAAGAAATGTCGGTTTGTAATGATTTTAGATTTAGAAATTGCATTTAAATAGAATATAATCACCAGAAATTGATTAACTCTTTCGCATCGAAGTCACCCGTAACGCCCGTTCATTCAGGCAACGCCTCGTTTATTTTCTACCTAGGGCTTTTCCCCTCCACCTTAGTGTATGGCTCATTGGTTTTACGAGTTGTTAAGAGACATGTCAATCATTCTTTTGAAGCAACTAAAGGAGACACATGGAAAGCTATTAACGTTCGCAAGTGTAATCCGGCTCTAAGGTGAAACTGCACACAATGGATGAAACCGCTGAATACCCCCCAAGAGAGAAACAGTCATTTCACTTAAGTAGGTTACTGTTAATGCTGTAGCTATCTACCAGGCAGGGGAAAGGAAAACTGTCCAAGATAAATTCGTAAACACAGGCGTTTTCGATGTTTGATGAAAACAGATTTGGTCGTCTCTCGATGCGAAAGAGTTAAGGGAGATTATCTCTTTTGAGAATGTGAACTTAAATGTCATTCATATTGCATTCTGTATTCAACAGAAATTTTCCAGTTTTTGTCATCTTTCAATGTTACAGGAAAATCTGATTTTATTAATTTATTTATTTTTTATAGATCACTGAAAAAGTATATTTGGTTTGATTTTATGTTCTTTGAAAGTACAGATTGGAAAATCTGAATTTTTTACAAATCATTATATATGTTTTTTAGAACTGCCGTTTGGTTGGGAAAGGATTGATGACCCACATTATGGTACCTACTATATAGAGTGAGTATTAAATTATGGTTATTATAATTGATGATAAAAATTTTATATTTTAAGTGAATTTACTCTTACCAATTTGTAATAAATAACTTACAGTCATGTTAACCGACGTACTCAATATGAAAATCCTGTCATTCAAGCAAGAAGAGTGAATGATAATGGTATGTAGAAAGTTTCGTGTACATTATTATGTGCAACTTTATGTAACCAATATTATATGTGGATGTGTTACAAGTACATTATTATGTGCAACTTTATGTAACCAATGAATGTGTTACATGTTTTTATGAGCTTATTCTAATGAGGAGAAATGATTTCTTCAAATATAGCAATTATTTTTTATTTATAACTTTATTATTTATTAAAAAATTAAGGGATGGCAAAATCTTTAAAATTTAAGGATGGCACTGAGATGCAAAATTTGTAGAATTTAGGACTTGCAGAGACTGCACCATGCTGCAAAATCTCTAGTGCTAGCCGTAGATAAGCCTTAACATATATATATGTTATAATTTAATAAGAATGAGGAATCAGCTTGCAGTTGTAATAGTCGAAGTTTGAATGCATGCTGGCGAAGATAACACAATTGGATTTCGATAAATCACCAATCTTTATTTTCAAGCATATCACATAATTTCTTAGTAGATAAGATATTTCTAGATAATAAGCAATTACAATATTTTTATGTGCACGTTATATCATCTTAGAATAAGAACAAAGGAGGGTATAGCAGTATAGAGATGTTTGCAAGGTGGAAGCTAGGGAAAAGAATGACGTAATTTCTTGCGAGCGGTGTTTATACCAAGTAGATGCGGAAAGTACTGTGATTGTTTAATTTTCGTTTCATGTTTCAAGCAATGTTATATAACATAGTAAGATCTTGAATTTGGGAGAACAGTTGAATTTAGAGAACAGACCATATCTAGAATAGTTAATTTTGAGGTTGCCAATTATTTTTAAAGCAACCATTGTATTTTGTTAAATCTTACACACATATATGTATATATATACAGTACAAAGTCCGTAATCCGGACATCCATTGTCCCGAATGATCTATAATCTGGATCTCAAAGCCACAAACTTTTTTTTTTATGCTTTACGTATGCGCATTTAATGTGTAACAGACGGTATAAGCTAGGCTAAAATTTTCTTTACTGATTCTAAGGCATTTCAGTTAATGTTGCAGATTGTGCTGTTCCTTAATCTTCTAATTGGATCCGTCTTATTATTTTTTCCAGACTATGGTCTAAACCTTTTTCTAGGGTGGTTAGACAGACGGTCTAAACCTTTTTCTAGGGTGGTTTTATTCTGTATATCAGTTTTTAAATTCCTATGCATTGAAATCTGAAATTTCCATCTAGAAACCCTATTAGGAGTTGAATATAGGAAATTTAAATGTGCATGTGATTATGGCAAAGCCACGAGGGCTATCTGCCTAAAAGGAGGGATGCCTTCGTGGAAGATTTTCTAAAAGAAACTGGCTCATATACACGTTACACACGGGGAAAACCATGAAAACGCTCATGCAGCCAGCTCGTTCGCAGGATTATTAGAGCAATTTTGTAAAAATTAAGCTTGAACTTTCGATTATGTCAAAAAGAGTTTCCAATTCTGGACCTGTCAAAGGATCTACAGAGCAAAAGCATGTGTCAATGTCCATCAAACAAAAAGTGGAATTGCTGCAAAAAATGGGTAAAGGCATATCTGTCAAAATTATGCGGGAGTATGACATTGGAAAGTCAACTGTATATGGCATAAGCAAAAAAGAAAAAGGACTATTTTGTGGATTCCAAAACCCCACTTGCAGTGAATAACAGAAAAACGGTTCATTATGCTAAAAGTGACAATCATGACAAAGTGATGATTGAATGGGTCAGACAGCATCACAGTGAGGGCGTGCCATTGATGGGTCCAATGCCTATGGTTCAAGCCAAAATATTTCATGAAGAAATGAACTTAAACACTGAGTGCACATATTCGACAGGTTGGTTAACCAAATTAAAAAATCGCAATGGTAGACAATTAAAAATTTCAGTTGAAAAAGCTTCAGCTGATACTGAAGCTGTTGAACAATTTGCAGATGAATTCATTGAACTCATTACTAGTGAACAATTATCTCCAGATCAAATTTACAACGCTAATGAAACTGGTCTTTTCTGGCAATATGTACAGTGAAATACCTTGGCAATCTTTAGAGAAAAGGCTCCAACTGGTGTCAAACATTCCAAAGCAAGACTAACAAATTTTAGCGCACGCAAATGCTACAGGAATGCACAAGTGCAAACTTTTCGTAATTGGAAAACATGCACGACCTTGAGCATTTAAAGGAATAAAGATTTTCCCCGTTATATATTGTGAAAATAAAAGAGCATGGATGACACAAGCGTTGATGAATGATTGGTTTGAAAATTATTTTATACCCGAGGCTCGGTGACATTTGAATTCGGTTGGTTTACCTGATGACTCAAAAATGGTACTGATTGTTGACAACTGTTCGGCGCATACTTCACTTAAAGTTTTAGTGAAAGATAATGTATCCGTATTATTCTTTCCCTAAATTGTACGTCTGTCATTCAGCCTATGGATATCGAAATAGTGTGCGCACTGAAATACAAATTAGCATTTTTAAAATTCCTGTTAAATTTCTTGAACAGTGGCAAGACTATTCAAGAATTTTTGAAATATTTTAGCATAAAATTTGCTGTGTGGAGCATAGCAAGATCATGGAAGGATGTGTTTCCAGATACGTTAAAAAATGCTTTGTATAATTTATGGCCAGCTAGTACAATATTTCATGGTGAGGACGATGAAGATGATAGCCGCGAATTTGAAGGTTTTCAGATATTGAAAACTAAAGGTAAAATTTTCCAGTTTATGGATTTTGTAAAGAAATGTGGAGAAGCGGTAATAAATGAAGATGATATAACAGAAGTTTTTCATTGCAATGACAATGCCCCAATCACCAATCAATTATCGAACGGTGAAATCTGTAGTATGGTTCTAGATCCAGAAAGTACCACTCCGATAGTGAAGAAAGTGGCAGAGAGGTTATCGAAAACGAAAAAACTTCGATTGACAAGTTAGTCGGTATTCTCGATACAGCAGTTACAGGACTTGAGCAGTGAAACTTTGTAACTGAACAAGAAATTATGTCTGTTTATAGAATTAAAGAGATAGTATTAGCACAAAAAACGAAGCAACTTAAACAACTTACATTGAAATGAAATGTTTAATAAAGTGAACAAATAAATATTAAGTTTTTTTTTGTAAATTTTGATACCCTTTAGATCATAATTGCTCTTTATTTCATAAATTATGGTTTCATATTTTTAATTGTATAATTTCTGCATGCCATCTTACCAGATTTAAATTGATGATCTATAATCCGGAATCGCCGAATTTCCGACGAGTCTGGATTACGGTCTTCGTGCTATATGTGTATTGATATATATGGGATTTATTTGTGAGTCAGATAAGCCTTAAGCATGTGTAGGAAATAGGTGTAAGTATAATAAATAAGGTAATTTATTTAGGCTTAACAACAAACAAAAAAAAAAAAAAAAAAAAAAAAAAAAAAAAAGATTACTGTTTAGAGGAAACTAAAATGAGGCAGTGCTGAGGCTGAAAAAGTACAATTATCTGTTCCAGTATATTTTTTGTCTTTTTAACAAAATGGGATGGTTAAGAATAGGTTGAATATTTTCAGACTTGTGAGAGACCTTAACTTATGAATGAATTTGTTTTTATTTTAAATGCTTATTATCAATTTAGCTTTATGTTTACAGTTTCTGCAGCAGATATTAGCCACTCCTCATCATCATGGCACCGTCATTCTGATCACACTAATAATAGTCATGGTCCTGGTTTCCTAGCTGAGCCTAGGTCAGTTCCATGGGCATCCAGAAACAGCTCACTAACTCAAACCTCCAATTGCAGTAATTCAAATGATCCAAATATTGCCAGCACTAACAATAGTGAATCTTTTCTGATTGTTTCTTCTTCTGATGGCAACTCCTCATCCTCAAAACCTCCCCCTCCTCTTTCTCCACCACCAGCTAATAATATTTCTTCTTCACCTGCATCAACTCACCGCTTTCCTTATCTGCACTGTATACCCTGTCTTAATGAAAAGCATGAACCTTCTAAACATTTGGCAGATGGCAAGGTAACAGAAGGCAATGTGGTTATGGGGAATGGTACTGTTACAACTAATGCTTCTACTAGTGATGCTGGTACCCGAGTGTGTGATCTGCAAAAAGGACCATCTCCTGTTTCCATGGAAAGAAGCTCTACGTCTACTGGCCGTCACTGTTTTTTTCAAAATTCTGATTCAAATGATTTATCACACAGAGTGTCTAATATTTCAGGTACTGAAAAATTATTATGAATTTTTTTAAAATTATACCATTGTTTTATAATCTTGATCTATTTTTTAGTGAGATGTGTGTACTTACTTTTGCATATTTAAAAATTGTTTTTTTAAATATTTCCTCATTCAACTTACTATTAGTAAATATCTAGATGATATTGGTATAATTAATGAACATTAGACTTTCATTAAATATGCAGATGGTATTGGCATAATTAATGGAAATTTGAATTTAACGACTTGAATTCGCTGCTCAAATAACGAAGTTTATTTTAACTGGAAATTAAATTCATCTTGAGGAATACATTTGCTATTCATAAAGTGGAATCTCTTGTAGTAAATTATTCAACTAAAATATGTAAAGTGTAATAATTATTTATTATTTAAAGCAGTGGTATTCAAACTAGGGTGTGTGAAAATTTATAGTGGGGTCTCAAGGTGGATTAAAATCCTAAAATATCTAAATTGATGGTATGTAACTAAGGATCTACACTCTAAATTATTGCTGCGAAATTGAAATTAATTTTTGTGGGTCGTTTGTATGTTTATGAGGTAACATTGCCATTAAGTTTGAAAACCTCTGACTATTCAGAACTGATTTCAGAAAGCAGCTTTATTATGTAGTCAGCTGTAAAAAGTTGGAAGTAATTGCTTTAAAAATAAATAAGTCATCCCAATTCTTGAAACAGTCACATATTCGAAGATCTTATGGGTTTTAAGGTGTACAAGTCCTCTTAAAGTAATCTGTTCTTCTTTTTCAGCTTCTTTTGCCTTTCCAAATTTATAACTTTAATATCTTTCTGTAATTACAATGTAATATTTTTTTCCCAATTTAATTTTAAATAGAAATTTTAAACTCTAAATTGATTCTAAAATTCCGATGCAATACATTTTTGGAATATATCCAAAGGGGTGATAGAGGAAATTATTAGAAGTTATGAGATTATTATTTATTATTAGAGGAATTCATTAATTATTATTCCTATGAAGCAGTTTGTTAGAGGCTGGTCCATTTGCTTTGATTTCAAGCAATGGACAGTGTGTTGTACTCTGACAGGATATTGCTATAATGCTGAAATCTATGAAGGTCATCTAGTAATTCAGAAAATGATACATACGGGTTAGGGATTTCAGTCATTGAGTAATGAGTAAGATAGCAACCATAGACAAACCAGAAGGAACATTCCTTTTATAGTTTCAACAGGATGTAATGCCACCCAGCTGGTATAGTTGTTAACCAGGGGTGGCCCAAGAGCAATACGTAGTGCAGGGAGAAAATTATGCCACATATGCATGACGTCATGTGGGTGACAGTCGTTAGTTCTTGGCAGTTGTTTACATCCATTCCATTTGATTTGTGTTGTTAATTTGCTATTATATCTAGTCGGAAATGGCAAATTGTGCTATAACGTTGTGTCAGAATTATAGAAGGAAAACTAAAAGTCAAGGCATCACATACCATCGTTTTCCAAGTGATCCAGAACTTCGTAAGTTATGGACTAATCGCTGCAAAAGAGCAGATAATTTCAACATCGAAAATGCCAGAGTATGTGCTCTTCATTTTACACCTGATGACTACGTACGAGATCTAAAGGCAGAATTGCTTGGTTCAACTCCTAAAAGGGTGCTGAAAGCCAATGCTGTTCCCACTTTACATCTTCCGTCATCATCATGTGAAAATAACTCATCAATAAAGTATATATGTTGTGCTTCAAAAACTGAACCTAATCTGGAGAGAACGTTTTCTAACAGGAATGAGTCATCTAAATTTATGCTAAAAAGGGATAGAGCAAGCAGGTGTCAGGCTCGGGGAACAAGGAAACGAGCATTGGAAAATTTAGCTTCCCTTTCCCCCAAAAAGAAAAAACTACAAGCTGATAAGATAGACTGTGCAACTCAGTTTACATCCAGTGACACATCTCATTTAGTTGAGCGTGTGCAAATCTTAGAAAAGGAAAATAAGAGATTAAATGTGTTGTGCAGTCAATTGAAAATGCAAAAGAAAATTATTTTTACTGAACTTACTGCTTCTCGTAGAAAATTGCGTAGCTATCAGAAAATGAGCAGGAAAGTAACAAGCAAACAAGTACATAGTGACTTCTGAATTAGTACATAGTGAAGTTAAAAAAAATTTTAGGGACAATTTTTACGGATAATCAAATTTGCTTTCTCATGTCACATAAAAAATTTGTTAAGTGGAATGCAGATGACATTTGCAGATCTGCAACACTTAAGGCAGTATCCCGAAGATGCTACAACTATCTCATACAAAGAATAGGATTTCCATTTCCTAGCATTTCGACTTTGAAGAGATGGGTATATCTTGTTCATTTCGCTGTTCTCCTGGTTTGCTACACGATGTAATTCATGTTATGCGTGCTGGGGCATTACAGATGACAGACAAAGAATGTATGTGTGTTCTTTCATTCGATGAAATGAACGTGGATAGTAGAATCTGTTATGACCAAGCAGAAGATAAGATTGTTGGCCCACATAGAAATGTTCAAGTAGTAATGGTGCGAGGACTTCTTGCAAGCTGGAAGCAGCCAATATATTTCGACTTTGATACGCAAATGACGGCAGAAATATTGAAAGATATAATAATAACATTAGCAGAAATTGGATATTATGTAGTTGCAGCTGTAGCTGACTTGGGTGGTAGAAATCGTGCTGTGTGGACAAAACTTCAGATTATTACTCATCTGAACAGCAGCTTTTCACATCCCCAGGACTCTAGTAAACGTGTGTGGGTGTTTGCTGATGTGCCACACCTTTTGAAACTTCTTCGTAATCACTTTTTGGATGACGGATTAATGCTTCCGGGAAATAAATTAATTACAAAAGAACCTATCGAAAGATTGATATCGATGGATTGCAAAGAAGTGAAAATTTGCCCAAAGTTGTCCGTAAGTCACATTTCTGTTAAAGGTAATGAACGCCAGCGTGTGCATTTAGCTGCGCAGTTATTTTCAAACCATACTGCACAAGGTATCCGCTATCTTATACCAGAAGAAGAGGAAACTGCAATTTTTTTTTGAATTAGTGAATAATTCATTTGATATTCTTAACTCCAGGAAACCTGTCTCTGATACAGTGTTATCTTGTGCGTATGGGATACATGAAGAAATCCAGGAGAGAACCTTAAAAGAAAGAAATTTTATGCTTTTTGTGAAGACATGAGAGTGGGCAAGGCAAAGCACCTATTACCATTTCAGAAAGGATTTATGATGTCGATTACATCACTGCTGGGGTTATTTTCTGATTTGAAACAATTAGGAGTTAAATACCTTTTAACTTCCAGACTAAATCAAGATTGCCTGGAAAATTTTTTTTCCCGAATCCGCGGTCTTGGCCATTTCTATGATCATCCACTGCCCGTAGACGTGAAGTATCGAATGCGTCTTTTATTGTTAACTAATAATTCCTACCAGATTTCACTTTCTAACACATCTTCTGTTGCTCCTGATGAGGAGGAAGATGCATACATTACTTCCAACTTTTTTGGTAATATTTTACCTGACATGACTGAAGCTCTGAAGATGTTAGACGGTGAAACTGAGATGAGGGATATTGTTTTTGATAATTCTAGATTGACCCTTGCAAGTGAACCTGCAGCTGACTGCTCTGTAGAGGGTTTTCGGTACCTTGCAGGCTACATAGCCTACCGTGGAAGAAAATATGACCATTGGGAACACCTACAGAACAATTGCTCCATCTGCCTTCAGATGAACACGTTGGTTGGATAGAAACGCTTTCTCGTGGTGGTTTACTTGTTCCATCTGAGGAATGGTTAAAAAAAAATAAGTCAATTTGAAGTAGTGTTTGTAAGTGAACATGGGAAAGATGGTCTTTCAAGAAATAATAACATTATGCAAACTATGTGTAAAAAAATTGCACAAAAGTTTCCTGATGTGCATAATGAAATCATTAAAATATATGTTAAGACACGAACATTTATACGCTTGAGGTATTTGAATACAGAAATGAAAAAGAAGAAAAGAAATAAGGCTGATATGAAAAAGGCACAGAAGTGGATTGCATCATCTTTATAACTCCTCCTCATATTACACCTGTGAAGATACTCTTCAACAGCAGCCGGGACAGCGATTGATGATGATGAAGAACAAAACATTAATGAAAATGAGTGTAAAAAAATCATTGCTAGATGATAAGTCAAATGCATATGATACTTTACTACACAGTTTCGAGTTTGAGATAGTGTACCAGAAAACATTTCCCATGCATTTACAAAGATGTGAGGCTTCTTATGACATGATGATCCCAACAATCAAAACAAGCTTTCGTGTTTTAGGGAAAGTATTCTGCCACTGCAAATATCCTCTTCGCAAACATTTCACATTGGCAAATTTAATAATATTTTTGTCAAACAATTTTTGGCATTTTAAAGAAAGAAACTTGCTTTAGAAGACTGTGTTGTAAAATTTATAAGTGAATACCATTAACATTAAGTACAAGATGTCTGAAATGGAACTGTAATGCTACTACCAGATTAGAACCATCATTTACTTCCAGATATGTTACAAAAAGGGAGCTACAGAATGTCAACAAAACATGCATACAACTTTAGGTACTAATGTTGCATCATATGAGACTGTGAATGTTTGATATTGAAAGTTCAAAAACAAGGACTAGGGCATATGGAACTCAAACTCAAAACAAGGCAAAACAAGAACAAGATTACTAAATATTTTCTCAAACAATTTTTGGCAAAGAAAGAGATTTGCTTTAGAACAGTGTGTTGAAATTGTATTAAAATATCATTGTGTACAAGGTATCAGAAGAGAACTATCACACTACCGGATTAGAACCACCACTTACTTCCAGATATGTAGCAAAAAGTAAGCTACAGAATGTCAACAAATCATATGTACAGCTTTAGGTACTAATGTTATATCATATGACACTGTGAAGGTTTGGTACCGAAAATTCAAAAAAAATAAGGACTATTACACTCAAGAAGCATAGTACTAGAAAATAGTGTACCAAAAAACATTTTCTATGCATTACAAAGATGTGAGACTTCTTACGACATGAAATGTCTTTCCCAACAATCAAAACAAGCTTTCGTGTTTTAATGAAAGTATCCTACCACTGCAAAAATCTTCTTCGCAAACATGTCACATTGACATATTTAATCATATTTTGTCAAACAATTTTTGGCGTTTGAAAGAAATTTGCTTTAAAACACTGCTGTGAAATGTGTAAGAGAAATATCATTTATCATAGAGTACAAGGTGTCTGAAATGAAACTATTTCTACTAAGTTGTGTTGCAAAAAGTCAGCTACAGAATGTCGCCAAATCATGTATACAACTTTAGGTACTGATGTTATGTCATATGAAACTGTGAAGGTTTGTTTTGTGAAATGTGTAAAACAAATATGTTATGTCATCGAATACAAGGTGTCTGAAATGAAACTATTTCTACTACAGTTGTGTTGCAAAAAGTCAGCTACAGAATGTCACCAAAATCATGTATACAACTTTAGGTACTAATGTTATGTTGTAGGAAACTGTGAAGGTTTGTATTGTGAAATGTATAAAACAAATATGTTATGTCATCGAATACAAGGTGTCTGAAATGAAACTATTTCTACTACAGATTAGAATCATCTACTTAACTACTCCAAATTAGAATCATCTACTTAACTACTACATCTATCTTAATACTACAGATTAGAATCATCATTTACTTCCAGTTGTGTTGCAAAATGTCAGTTACAGATTGTTACCAAATCACGTGTAAAACTTTAGGTACTAATGTAATGTCATATGAAACTGTGAAGGTGTAGTACCGAAAATTCAAAAACAAAGACTATGACATTCAAGGAGCAGAGTACCAGAAAATATTTTTCATGCATTACAAAGATCTGAGACTTCTTATGACATAAAATGTGTTTCCTAACAATTGAAACAAGCTATCTGCTTTTAATGAAAATGTTGTGCCACTGCGAATATCGTGTGCACAATGGCATATTTAATCATATTTGTTAAAAATTTTTTGGCATTTGAAAGAAAGAGACTTGCTTTAGAACAGTGTGTTGTGAAATTTATAAAAAAATGCAATAATAATTAAGTACAAGGCGATTGAAGTGAAACTGTCACACCACCAGATTAGAATCATGTACTTCCAGTTATGTTGCAAAAAGTGAGCTTCAGAATGCCACCAAATCATGTGTACAACTTTACGTACTAATGTTATATCAAATGACACTGAAGGTTTAGTACTGAAAGTTAAAAAATAAGCACTATGACATTCAAGAAGCAGAGTACCAGAAAAATTTTCCGAGCATTAAAAAGATGTGTGTTTTCTTATGACATGAAATGTCTTTCCCAACAATTAAAGTAAGCTTTCGAGTTTTAATGAAAGTATCCTGCCACTGCAAATATCCTCTTCTCAAACATTTCACATTGGCTTCTTTAATCATATTTTGTGAAACTATTTTTAGCATTTTAAAGAAAGAAACTTGGTTTAGAACGCTGTATTGCAAAATGTATTTGAAAAAGAGAGACTTGCTTTAGAACGGTGTGTGCTGTAAAATTTATAAAAAAATACCATTCATTAAGTACAAGGTGTGTGAAATGGAACTATCACACTACCAGATTAGAATTATAATTTTCTTCCAGTTCTTTTGCAAAAAGTCAGCTACAAAATTTCGCCAAATCATGTGTACAACTTTATGTGCTAATGTTATATCAAATGACACTGAAGGTTTGGTACCTAAAGTTCAAAAACAAGGCTTATGATACTGAAGAAGCAGATCACTCTGGCCAACCTACTGATGTTGATGAGGCCCACCTACGAGAACTTGTTGAATATCAATATGTAACCACTCAAGGGCTTGCGTATGGTCTCGAGAGAGTGAAAGCTGAAGAGTTAGACATTAGTGCCATGTCCATTAGTTGCGCTGAGTATCTCGTAGATTTGACGCACAAGTTCAATTACTGGGTACTGCATGAGATTACTTAATCACACCTGCAGCCACATCTTGCTGGTGCTATCTTCCATTCTGCGCAGGATGTCCAAAATGTAGTTGATCTGCTTTTGAACTCGTGGCCACCAAGTTTATGTGTCGATGATTTTGAAAAAACTACCAAAATGTTGACAGAAAATCATAGATTTGTCTGGTGATTTGTACCCGTGCTATATATACTACCTTCATGTTGTTGTTTTTTCTAGTTTTATGAAGAACGTTTTTGGTGGAAAACTTTTCTTTACAACCAGATAAAATAACTGACTATTTTTTAAATGAATTTATGTAGTTTTCATACATAACTTTTATGTAATTTTACATTTATTTTTCATTTTACTTTCTATTTAATAATTTTTATCATAATTTTTCCTTTTATGAAGTAGACTTATATAGCGAGATATTTAATCTCAATGTCGTGTTTACCAATAGTGACTACCTGAATGATTAGTTGATAAATTTGCTTATCTAAGTTAATTCACATGCTTTGGTTACTTTCTTTACATCCCAAAAGTAATTCTATGTATTGAAGCAATGTCTGGGTTAAGCATTGAGACACATAGTAAACTGATACATGCTTCAGAAGAAAGAACAATTTATCGGCCACACTATGATGCAAACATCGATGAGCGAGCGACATATTTCCTTCAATGTTGTTTAACTGATGCATATGCCTGATGTAATTTAATTGATATAACTAAGTGAACTTACACATACCTGACCCTGAAGGAAAACAAATCTGTGTATAATGCTGGAATACAAATAGCGAAAGAGTAAGTAAGTAAGATATTCTGTTCAGTGTTATTTAACTGCTGCATATGTTTTAATTTTGATTCCATATAACTTGTATTAATTTAGAGAAAGAAATTTTCAATTTGACAACATTTTTAAATTTTTTTCTTTAAAGTGTTTTGTGTGCAAATTTAATTGTTAATTTGCATGTCGGTTTTATGCCAAACCGACTACTTTGAACCATCAGTAACCTGCGGTTCTCTCCCAACTCGCCCACTTTAACCAGCCAATCCAATCCGCTGAACTTGTTTCTCCCACTCTTTTCTTTGTGGGCACCAGATTATTTTTTTTCGCGTTCGCTTCAGCAGCAAGGGAATACTCAGCTCGGGCGAAGCGTGGATTGTCGCATTCCTTTTGTTTTTTTTTTTTTTTTTTTTTTTTGTTTTTTTTTTTTTTTTTGTTTTTGTTTGCACGTGCTACGAATTATTAATACTCTTCACTATAAAAAGTATCAATTTAAATTTTTGATATCATTCTTCATTATGATTTTTTTAAAAATAAAAAAAATAAGCTTATGGGTTTATTTTTAATATTACAGCTCGCAGTGATATTTCCAAGTCAAACATATTGTTTACTCGAAATCCTGATGAATTACGAGGTGTTTTTGTCCGTACTTCTTTAATTAAAAGTTCCAGAGGCTTGGGATTTACAATAGTTGGCGGTGGAGATGGTTCTTCAGGTGAAGAATTCTTGCAAATCAAAGATGTTGTACCAAATGGTCCTGCGTGGTGTAATGGAAAATTAGTTACAGGTAGAATTATTCAGACTTCTAAAATTATTTTGAAAATTTAATGAGCTATTATTTCATTGTTAATTGGATAACATAAATTTATTTAAATTACCATATTTACTCATGTAATAGTTGTCTTTTGTTGGTTGCCAATTTTTGATTGTGAAAGTTTAGATGCAACTATTATGCGAGGAAATTTACTGCACAATATTGTACAATTTTGACATTTTTTTCTGCTTCAAAACGGGGGTGCAATTATAACGCGAGGGCGACTATTACGTGAGTAAATACAATATTTATTTTTATAGCATTATAGATATTGCTAAGCCAGAAATCACTAGTGCTATGTCATTTTTTCAGGTTTTTCAAACTTTTTTTAGAATATTCTTTGTGTTGCAATATAGTTTTAATAGTTTTGTGTATTTGCTGTAAGAAAATGTGGTTGAAATATGGGGTAGTGATGAGTTGCCAATGAGTGTTTGCTTTTCTCTTATAATCATGTCTATAAACTTAGAGAGTTTTAAACATGGCATAAATTGTTCTATTGACTTTTGCAAGTTTTATCTTTTGACATGCTTTGCATTTATTTTATTCATTGATTGTAAGATTAACCGAACAATGAAATGAGGTATTAGCTTTTCTAAATCATAAAATGTAACTGGAAATTTGAGAATGTCATAATTCTAATATAATGAAGTTGTATGTGAATAAAAAATGTGTTACAGAGAATTATGCTAAGAGGTGGTAACAGTAAGGGTAGGAAGCTAGTTTGAAGGAAACCGTATGACATTTATTACAACCATATAATTTATTTACCACTAGCACCAAGTCAAATTTGCCCAAGAGTTGGATAAGGCAGAAAAACTTTCATAAATAGAAGGAATAATCTTAGAAACTTTGGAATAGCTTCTGCCATAATAATTAACCAGCCAGTTGAGAAATGCTGTATTAAAATGGAAAACAAAAGCTTGTTAACCAAAATGTTCAAAATCCAGTTAACTACCAAATTTAACGTGGCAGCAAATAAGATTCCTGGTAGCAGGTAACATACTAGTATCTGAATATCTAACATAACCCGGCTTCTGTCAGTGTGGATTCACTATAGTGTATGAAATGGTGGGTGTTGCGTAGAAGTTTGTGAGCTCTTATATTTATGCTTTTATTTTGTGTTTTTAAGCTTATTTAGAATTGCAATTTTGCATGGTAAGTGTAATTTAATTGATCTAGAGTGATTTAGTATTTTCTCTTTTGAGTCAAACTGGATCAATAATTAATGTTAAGTTGCATATAGCTGAGCCCGCTTCAGCTTAGTATGTGTGTTTTGCATCATCTCTGAGCCCTTTAGCATGAAGGTATTTGGTGCACCACGATTTAAAATTTTTAAGGGCATTGTTTCTTCAAGACTTTCGACCAGTTTGTTGATTTTTTGCATTTTTACTCTCTTTTAAAGTTATTTTGAGTGCACAATCACAAGATCACTCATTCTTTCTTATCATACTGTTTACTGTGCTTAATAATTAAGAGTGCATTATATTTGTGAAAGCTACTTTTTCTGTAAAAATTTTAGGCCACACTAATTTTGCACAATTCAGTCAAGTTTTAGTCAATTTTTTAATGTTCAGTCAAGTTTTCAGTGTCTGATCTGTTTTACATTTTACTCTGCATAACCAGATGCAGTCATTTTAACATGTGATAATGTCCTGCCCCCCTTTTTTTGCACTTCCCATGCTACATCATTTATCCAACTAATCGACTAGGCTGTAATACACGGTATTAAATGATACAACAAATTGGAATTTCTAAAAATTCTTTTAAAATACCATTCTGTTTTACTTTGTAATTATAGAAAAAATTTAATCGTCAAAGACTGCATCTATTTGTAAGCAGAATCATGGAATTAGGTTTTCCAAACAACATTAGGAAATGGCTGTTGTAATGTGTGGCCATCTTCTCTGTTTATTGAAATTGAGAACAAGATAATGAATTTTCTGGTTTTAGAGTTGGCAACAAAAGTTTCAAGCAAGAAAATTATTTCTTATTCGAAAGAAAGATCAAATGAGGAGGCTTTGCAAGAAGATATACTTGAACGGATGATGTGTCCATATTAACCATTGCTGAGCCATCAGATGACTGATGATGAAATCATTGGCTCTATTTTGAACTTGACACAGCAAGAAAATGATTCCGATTCTGGTATGGATAATAAATTTGATAGAAGTGAGAAAATATCTTTTAATGAAAGTTTGGAACATGGTGAAAATACCTAAAAATTTTAGAGCACAAAACAAGAGATTATTTATGACTCTATAACTCTTCCCCTCCCCCCGAAAAGGGGGGCTTCTCTAAAGCAGTCTACAGTTTTAAAACAAACCTCTTTCAGAAAAATAAATGTTTAAAACATGTAGACAATATTATTAATTAAATATTATTAATTAATTAAATATTTTATTCTTTAATTATGTCCCTTACTTTCATATGTCTTAATTTTATGTCCTTAAGGTTTGTATATGCCCTTATTTATTTTGCACTTTTAGTCCAAATATAATGATTTATCTTTTTTGTCCTAAAATCCACACAGCCTCTGCTCTCGAGCATTGCAGATTTCTGATCTTCTATTGTATTAACAACTGTCAGCAAAATGTTATTATAAGAACTGGGAACTGGTCTGAGGAAAGTAAATTGCCTTTGTATTTAGCAGATTTTATGTGGAGACAAGACATTTGCCAAAAAATCAGAAAATGCTTGATGGATGTCAAAAATCCTGGTATTAATATTCATTGAAAATGTATATCATCGTCAAAAGGAATTAAAGAGCAGTGTATCAATAGGGGCTGGCTATTATCCAGCTACTGTTTATTTTACTGAAATTGATGTTGTAGATTGTTAAATTTGTCATTTAATTGGTTTCTTTTAATAATGTATAAAAGTCGGGTATGGATAATTATCTAAAGCAGAGATTCTCACACTTTAAAATATTTGTGCAAAAAAAAAAAAAGGGGGGGGGAGATGACAGTTCTATATCTCCTGTGCTACTGGTCCAATTGACAAAATTCAACTTGCGTTTTTTGTGTCTTGAAAGTGCAACTTAGAATATGTATTAGATTTATATATAGCGTTCTAATATAGGTATTTTGACACAAAATCGGAATTTTTCTGAAATGACATGCCAATTTTTTCCCATATTTTGATTCTACGATTCAAATTATGCCAAACTGCCAAGTTTTGTAAAAATTGCATGAGTAATTTTTTAAAAATCAACTCTCAAAATTTCAGCTCCTCAATGTTAATTAAATTTAATATATATTTATTAATATATCTTTTTTTATTAAACTTACTTGATTCCTTCTTCCAGAATTCGAAATTTAGGTTAATCCAAATATATGATTTACACATTTTTTACGATTTATTTTTAAAATTTGTATTGTGAAATATTTTTTAAATTTTTCGAAAAACTTTTTGTGTTATAAACTATAAAAATTTTAACATCTTCTTAAAATATATGTATTTCTAGGGACACCTGCAGACAATTAGTTTTTTTATTCAAAAATTTCTAAGATATACATGAATTTACACATTGGAGCATTTTGTAATTTAGCATTTTTTTTCTTTTTCTTTTTTTCTTTTTCTTTTTCTTTTTGAGTGATAATAGTGGCAAATGTGGTTTACAAACTTTAAAATATGTTTAAATTATTTGAAAGTACAAACGAGGATTTTGTTTCTGCTCATCTATAATGAAAAAAATTTGATGTGTACACCACATGACTTCCTTGTATTGGAATATTAAATTGGAATATTGAATTATACGCATTTTTTCTTGCATTTCATTTAAACTTATTGGATTGAATTAAATCTACTTTGCCGACAGCGCATAAACCACAATAGAATAAATGCATTCTTTAAAATTCACTCTAGTATTTGTTTACCATAGTGACACTCTGGCGCTAGATTCACTTAACAGTATTAATAATTATATAACAGTTAACTTATATAATAATTATATAAAGGAAACTAAGTTAACTGTTATATAATCCAATAATTATATAACAGTTAACGTATATATTTTGTTCATATTATAACTCATAATGCACAAAATTTATATCATTTAAAGAATAGAATTATCTAATCGTTGCCACATGTTCTATTCAAATACTATAATAAAGTTAGAATGATGTATAAAAGAAATTAAGCAAACAAAACAAAAAAGAAACAGTTTTTCACAGACAATTGAGTATTTCTCATTTAATTAATTCAGTTCTCACTTCGTGAGAAGGCAAAAATACATAAAAACTCAAAATATCTATATTAAAAATTACGAAGTAAATCTCAAACACTTATTTCCTCGATAAAATTCCAGAAAGAATTAAGCATGATTTAATTGGCAATAATAAATGAATGCATTATCTTTGTTGTTGCGAAGCTAAGTTTCTCTAGATTGGCAACAAATCCACTAGTCTCCTGTTTCAAATGTAAATATCAATGGCCGCCATTAAAAACAGGCTTAGCAGCAATTAAACAACTCTAAAATTGCTGATAATTCTAAAAATATTGCACACAGATTTACTAAAGGCATAAAATCCTTAACCGGAAGATAAAAACAACATAATTTAATCATTTTTAAAGCAAAAAAGGTACAATTTACAAACATATAAGAGTAAAGATAGTGAGATCACTGAGCCGGGTAACAGAGTGGATATATATATAAATATATTTATATACGTTTGATGCGGCCGATTGCAACCAAAATATGAGGTGCACATCTACATGTTATAGCAGTCCTATATACAAAATTTCAACATTCTGAGGCTACTCGTTTTTGAGTTATGCGAGATACGTACGTACAGACACCACGAAAAATTCTCTTCAGAATTAATTTTAAAGCAGTTTTATAATTTTTTCGAAGGAAAAGAGTATTTTATTCTGTCCTTACGTGCAGATATCATGCAAAAACATCGTTAAATTGCATTCAATAGCGGTCAAAATGGATATTTTCGTTGAAAACTTTTCGCGATTACAATACTTTCTTTTTACTTCGTACAAGAAAGTAAAAAGAAAAGGACAATAATTTGTTCTAAAGTAAGAAGTTCTCCAAGTAAATTATTCTTAGCAAAAATTGGGGGGGGGGAAGCGCCAGGATAAAATTTTGAATTTCTCCATATATTTTGCACCAAATTTTACAAAATTTAATATTTAGTCATAATTTGAATCACAGAATCGAAATATGGGAAAAAATTGGTATGTTATTTCAGAAAAAGTCTGATTTTTTTTGTCAAAAATAGCTATGCTATAACAATGCCATATATAAATCTAATATATATCCTAAGTCATGCTTTCGAGACATGAAAAATGTAATTTTGAATTTCGTTAATCGGCCCATGATAACGAGAGATATAGAATTGCCTCCCCATTTTTCGTGCGGAGTGTACCAAAAGGGGCACTGTACATTCATTTTGAACATTTTAATGTTTTATCTAAAAATGGTAAAATCAAAAATAATGTAATGTATAATTAGCAGTTTACGTATCATGTTTGTATACATAGTTTGAGAAATCCCTGATCTAAAGTTATGTTGTGTAATTTTACAACTGAGTATTTAGATTGCTGTTTTTTTCTTTTTTTTTTTTTTTTTTTTCCCCTTTTCTTTTCTTTTTTCTTTTTCTTCTTCTTTTTTTTTTCTTTTTTTTTTTTTTTTTTTTTTTTTTTTTTTTTTTTTTTTTTTTTTTTTTTTTCTTTTCTACAGTGAAGAAGGAACTAATCTTTTTTTTTTTTTTTTTTTAATTAATATTAATGAAAACTTGTTACAGAGATCAGTCGCTGGAATGTGAATATAAAAATGAGCACACAAAAGAAACTGTCCTTATTTTATCTAACTGAAAATATATCTGAAAACCTGAAGAATAGGTGATGGTGAAAGAAGATGTAAATTTTTATTAATGATATAGGAAATTTCATGTACTTAATTCACTTTATTTTCTTGATAGGTGATGTTCTTGTTCGTGTTAATGGGGAATGTGTTCTTGGATATACTCATCAGAATATTATTGCCTTATTTCAAACAATTCCTGCGGGAGAAGTCGTAGAGCTTGATGTATGCCGTGGTTATCCATTGCCATTTGATCCCAGTGATCCAAATACAGAAATTGTGACAACGGTTGCTGTTTCTGTAGCAAATACTAAATTATCAAATGGCCATAATGTATATTCTTTTCGATCAGATAATTTTAATATGCCAAGTAGATTGACTGATAATTGTGCCAAATCTACTGATTCTATGACTCGTGCTGTCAAATCAATGCCAGATTTAAGCTCTAAATATCCTGATAACTGTTATCCTTCACATCACAACAGTGCTGGTTTTTTAAATCCATTTATTGAGGATATGCCAAATCTTTCACCTGTGAATGCTCATCGGGCTTCTTTAGTACCTGAATTCTTGACTGTTGAGATTATCAAAGGGGCAGCTGGCTTTGGTTTTACCATTGCAGATAGTTCTTATGGTCAGAAAGTATGTATTACATTTTTACACTCCATTCAAAACATTATTTTGAGTGCTGTGAACTGTTATTTTGTCACAATTTGTTACTGATATATTTTAAAAGTGTTAATTAAAAGCTTACCAGCAAAAATTTAAACTTAGTTTACAGAACTAAAGAAGGAAAAATTATTTAAAAAAAAAAAAAAAAAAAAAGATGCTTAATGTAGTTTCATGCTTTAAATCCTTGCATAATACTGAATAATGAAAACATAAGTAGATTATGTATTTGTAAGATATTACATTATTTTGCTAATTTTTTTTATTGCAGCTGGATTTAAAATTTTTGTTGCTTCTTTCCAATGTAATAATTTGTTACAAATGTCATAATGTACTTCTGTATTGTTGGTATAGAGAGTGATTATATAAAAGGCATCTTTTAGCAGTACTAGGATAACATTCATAGCCTTTCTTGCAAAAATCCTAACTTGTATATTGTTGTCTAAAAATTTAATCTAAGTTATGATAATGATTTAATATTTGGTCAGAAAAATGTTAATGCTGATAGTAACAATTTGAACATTCTTAAAATAGTCTTAAAAGAGGTAATTGGTTTATATATAAATTATAGTAGAGTGAACATATCATTATATAGAAAACTTGAAAAATCAGTAAGTAGTAAATATAAATTCTTGAAACAAAGAATGCAGTGATTAATTATTAGGTATTTCCGAAAGGTATTTATAAATAATATTTTTTGTTTTATTTTAAAACTAATGATAGAATGGTATATTAAATTTGATCTGCTGTGGATAGGAAGGTCTTTATGAAATAATTCGATTTATTAAATTTGACAGACTTGTAAAACTGTCAGATTTGGATAAATAAATTTATAAAGTACTACATCCTGTTCAATCTAACTGAACCTTAGTTATAATTAATTTCACATTCGTAGTTAAATTAATTTTGAATGGTACAGCTTAATTCTTTGTATATTGGCTGAAACTTTTTTAAAATTAATAATAACCTCTTGGAAATAAAATCTTTAATATTATAGAATAGAAATCAGAATACGATAAGCATATTTTATAAGAAGTTAGATTTGTGTTAATTTCTTTACATACTGATCTAAAATCTATACATTTCAGGTAAAGAAAATACTTGATAGGCCAAGATGTAAACATTTGCAAGAGAATGATCTTTTATGTGCTATTAATGGTCGTGATGTGAGAACACTAGCACATGCTGAAGTTGTCCAAATTTTAAAGGATTGCCCTTGTAATGAGGCTGCTGAAATAATTGTTCAACGAGGTGGATTTGTTTCTCCTTTGAGAACCAAAGGAAGATCAAAGGTTGGTTATTGAAGTGTTGTATTGTAACTTATCATTGATTTATGAATAATTTAAGAATTTAAAATTTGTTGGGATTTAAAATCAAATGAAAGAAAAATTGTAATAAATAAATTTTTATAGATAATCATTCGAATTATGTAAACTAAAGTACAACATCAAGTAAATTAAACTGTACAAAAATTATTAAAAAAATATTTTTTGTTTCTTAAATGGCAGTGCTGTTTAATTCTGAACTTTCCTTCCAGTTTATGCTGTTTCATAGTTGCATTTTTCTTGTATGTCATTTTGACTTTCTAATTTTTGTAATAACTTTGCTGCCAGGTTATCATATATAATACAATTCAGTTTTCTGCATGGGGGTCTACTGCACCAGATATAGTACAGGAGTGAAGTATATTGGCAGGCCACTATATCTGATGCTGAAATTAATAGGATCCTGAACTTTAAATTGCAGAGTAGGTCCATAAAAAAAATTTTGGAATTTGTAAGCATAATTTATCATGTAATATCTTGTAATACGCCACATCAGCCAAAACCAAGTTCAGGAAGATTCCAAGTAATGGATAGTTGCAGCGATAGGCAGATACAAAGAATGGCTTTGACACAGAAAAAGCCAGATATCCAAAAATACTATACATAGGTGAATCAAAGAATCTGGTTATATGATTCACACAAAAATGGCTCGATCATTATCACAGTGGCTTCACAAACAAATGAGATTGCCGTGGGCCTGTAACCATATGATGACAAGTGGATCTCTGGAATTTTCAGTGATGAAAAAAATGGGCTCTAGATCATCCTGACCGGTATTTATGTTACTGTCATGAATTATAAAAAGTGGCTCGGAGCTATTTCAGTAGGAACAGTGGAGACGGATCTGTTATGTTCTGGGCAGCTTTTGGTTTCAGTGGGCAAGTGGATTTCACCTTTTGGCACCTTTCACTTAAGTCTTGACATTTTTCTTGATTATTGATACTTTATAGTTCAGGCTAATAAGTGGACATCTGCATTCTTTGTATTTTGTGCTGTAATATGAAAAAGGCTGAATAAAATAAAATAAAATAATAGCAAACAAGCTATTAAAAGCAAATAAGTTGAGCGACTGGAACGGTAACCTAATAGATACGAATAGTATTTGTATCCGAAATCCGGACTCTTCTGGACTTTGGTGATTCCGGATTTGGGATTTTTTCCGTATATTAGATCATCATTTTAAATCTAGTAAAGATGGTATATAGAAATTATACAATTAAAAATATAAAATCATGATTCATGAAATAATGAAGTATTTATGACCTAAAGGGTATCACAAAAAAAGCCTAATATTTATTTGTTTATTGTATTGATCATTAATTTCAATGTAAGTTGTTTAAGTTGCTAATACTTTCTCTTTAATTCTGTTGGCAGACATAATTTCTTGTTCAGTTACAAAGTTTCACTGTTCAAGTCCTGTAACTGCTGTGTCGAGAATACCGACTAACTTGTCAATTGACTGTTTTCAGTAACAACTTCTGTTTTCAGTAACTTCTCTGTCACTTTCTTCACTATTGGTAGTAGTATTTTCTGGATTTATAACCATACTACAGATTTCACCATTTATTAATTGATTTATGATTGATAAGCATAGTCATCACAATGAAAAACTTCTTTTATATCATCTTCATTTACTACCACTTCTTCACATTTCTTTACAAAATCCGTTAATTGGAAAATTTCACCCTTGTTTTGCGATATCCAAAAATCTTTAAAATTAGTAGCTATCATCATCAAATTTAGCTATTCTTCACTATACATATTTGGCTATGCATCATGAGCTTTGGTGACTAACAACAAGTTGTTCCGTTAAATTTTATCCTGCTTCTATCGTGCACTGAGACAATTAAACCTGAACTGTATTAGTTTAGTTATTTATTATACTTATGTCTATTTCTTGCACATGCTTTTTAAAGCTTATCAGAGTTCTGAATAAATAAATTCCCACATATACTTAAGCCTTATTGAGGGCAGGCACTAGATATCTTGCTGCCTGATGCAGTCTCTGTTTGTCATAAATTCTGCGACTCGGTGGGACTATATGAGCCCTGGTGCTGGTTCTGGGTTTATGTGAATAACAAACCAGTTATTCTTAATTCAAATATTCCTAAATGTAATCTTTGGGTCTGTGGGTCAACAGAATCTATTTTTGGCATATAGAAAGAAATGTTTGGTAAATTTTTCCTTGTGAAAATTTTTTTAGCACATTTAACTTAAATCTGTAATCATCGCTAAGCATAATGTCAACATAAAAGGTTACCATACTCCTTTGTTATTCAATTACTAACATTAAAAAAAAATTTTTAGGCATTGCTACATGAATCATTTGTCAAGTTGTCATGTTTTGATAAACATGCAGTGATGAAAGGAAAGTATAATAAATAATGATTTGCCGGGTTGGTGTCGGATCAACGATGTATGTATGTGGAATGTTTCGGTTTGAGATGTGTGCCAAGCAGATACTCAGCAATGGAGCCAAATTACTGATTGTCATATTTATGCTAAAATGATTGTTTCTTCAGTAACAAGGTATTTTATTTAGTGTCGAAGTGAAATTAAGAATCAGGACTCTCCAGATGTTTTATTATGTGTGGAGGGGGAAAATCAAATGCGCATGCATTAAGCCTACGAGAAAAAACGGTGGTGGTATCGAGGTCCGGATTTTCAATCATTCCAGATAATGGAAGTCCGGGTTTCGAACTTTGTACTGTATTTTTTATTTTATATGCTAAACTGCTTTTACAATGCAATTAATTCATGAGTTATCTCTTGAAATGTCCCTGGATATTACTTATTATTAAATAAGATCCAACATTTTTATTTCGTTCTGATGTTAATTTGCTTTGTCTCTGACGTTAATTTGCTTTAATAAAATTTCTCTTTGATTATCTTGCCCTACCTTGAAATTTCATGATCCAGTTTCACTTAGAATATTTATATTTATATTTGTTCATTCTGTTACATCAAATAGCCTTCGTACACTTTGCCATAATCTATAAATCTAAAACTTATCTTGAAATTTCATCATTTGCATTTTTTACTTTATTAACTTAGTTATTGTTTACCACTGCATTGGACAGTACTGTAGTTAGCAGATACTAACTTCCAGACTACATATTGAGGACGACAGATCTGGATCTTCAGTGACTTATTCAAACCAGTATTTTCATTTCTTTTTCACCCTACAGATGCATAGTTTAAACTGCTTACTTAACCGTTTGACATGAGTTTCAGTGTGTCTTTGTTGCTCCGTCATCAGGTCAAAATGTAATTATAATAAAATATAATTCAATAGACAAAATCAAGTCAAAATATGTCCCGCAGTTTTCATGTGTTCTTGCAAGAATTGCTTAGCAGTCAAACGGTTAAGCTAAATTAATATTTGTTATTAAAAACACATTATTTTCAAGAATTACATGTAATTATCTTAATGATTACACTGAATGAAATGATTACACTTAATGATTTAACCTAAATGTTTTTTATTGCAATAAATATCATCTGATTATCCATATATCTCAAAAGTTAATTCTTATAAAATTAGTTTCTTAAACAAAATTATTTATTGAAATTTAATTAACAGAAAATTATATCTTGTGAATGTTAGGAAGCTTTGCTATGAAATGATTAAATAATTATTTGCTCACAATTTGTAATCGGGATCACTTGATTTATTTTCCTACTATTATGAGAGTTTTTATTGTATTCCCTTTATTATCAGTTTTTATATTATTTTATGTCTTAATAACATTGAAAGTATGAAGAATGGTGTTGCCACAAAAATACATGCAATATTTAGGTATTCCTTGGTTAGGTTATTAAAACTGCACATCTACCCATTAAGGTAACAACTTTAGAGGAATGTTAATTTAATAGTTGTGTTTGACTTAATAAATGCTGGCATCTGGCCTTTCGTTTTGCTGCATTTAGATTGCGGTTTTGAAGATTCTTTAGTAATGGTTCCGTAGTAGTATCCGGATTGGTGACTGGTCTCAACTGCTGGCAAACCATAATTGCCGTTTTCATATTAATAATTTTTGTTTCCAACTCCTTAAGTCTATTCCTCGTAAAATCCATGTCAGTAATATCCAATATTTCCTGGGGTGCTAGCCCAATGCAGCTTTCCTTCACTGGAGGGGTCTCCAGCGAGGTATTATCATCAATCCACGTCACAGTGTCTTTCGTAATAGTCAGAGCGCTCATGACGAGCAACCTACACGTACGAGGGTTCAGGGCCGAGTGACCTAATAAATGAATCAAAACTATTAAAACTGCTGAAGCTCACACTAGAGATGCATATCATTATGAAGCTATTATTAACGCGAAAGGTACTGAGCTAAGTAAGCAATTATAGCATAAGCATATTTTCTATAGCATAAAAATTTATTTCACACCACAGTATCAAAAGTTTATATTGCTTCATAATTCATTGAACTGCTTAACTGTCTGGAAAGTAGCATTATATAAATTATTGTGGGGCACCTACATAATATGGTAGTAGTTTTCCATACACCTTTAACAAAATTTATATTTGTTTGAAGCATAAGATGTGTTACAAACTATTACTGCGCATAAGTGGTCAAGTGAAAGATTGAACATTTATATTTCAACCTGAATTCGAATCCCTGTGCAGGGGCCAACTACATAAGTGTTTTTGTAATTTCCCCGGTATAACATAAATACAAAGCAGTTTCCATTATAATGTTGTCCACGAAAGCATGCCTCGTCTTATCCCAAAAAGATTAAGTTAATTTTGAATTTTTTTGAAATTGCAGCTCTGCATAGCAGAAAAGCCTTTTGGAAATTGATTTTATATGAGATAATCCCATATTTTCATATTTCAGTGTTGGCAGTTATGCATTTGTAATGTATGAGAAAGATGTGTAGTAAAAGCCTTTCATCAAAGTATATTGCCTAACTTTAAAATACTAAAAATAGTATCTGAAGTATTTTTTTAAAAGTCGTTA